CGAAGCCCCATGCCACCACTGCCCATATAGTACCACCTGCACAAGAAAATGGCTTGTATTTCTGAGCCAACTGATGTGATTGAGCCTTTAGTGCCTATTTGAAGCCCTGCGATTTGGCAACCATGTAGGACAGAGAATCCCATTATTGTCCCACCTATACAAGTCACTTCTATGTAACTGAAGCTGGCCATACACTAATGCAGGCCATAGATGGGGAGAAAAACGGCAGATTTTCGGCCGATTAACGAACTATCGGTCGGTCTAAAAAACTTACCTGACCACCAATTATTACGAAAATCGGCCGATTAATGAGTAACCTATAACGGGAAATTATGTCATTTTGTGGCCTTTGTGATCCTTTTTCTGAAAACGATCGTTCGTTTTTGACCATCAATGAGGATAAAGTCGGGCGTTTTTCGAAAATTTTCCAACATCACCGATAATCTGAAAGTCCAAAATACACGAAAAACGGCCGACAAAATCGTCCACTAACGATAAGATAATCGGCCGGTTTTATTTTCGGACGAAAAATCAGCCGTTTTTCTCCCCATCTATGGCCTGCATTAGTGGCTTTTTTTTTTTTTTTTTTGTGTTGAAAATTTTTTGTACTAAGAATGCTCAATTGACTTTCCCATACATTTTATGTGCATTTTAATGTGCCTTGATGCACATTGTAGTGCACGTTAAAGTGTACTGTATTTTGCAGAATTTCCTGTGACATCACATCTTGTGGGTCAAAAAAAAATAAATCCCAAAGCAATCATTTTTTTTTTTTTTTTTTTTTTTTCCCCTATGCTTGCATTGTGCTGTCTTGACCTGCATTTTACATGTGTTGACCTATGCTGCATTGTGTTTAAAATGCATACATGTTGCATTTCAACGTAGCATTGTGCGAATAAGATACAAAAAATAGTGTCCTTGCTAAAATGCAGATCAAAGCACTAGTGTGAAATAGCCCTAAGGCATATATGAAGGGTGTATGAATTTATGCTCTAAATATGCTGTTTTTATTTAGTGTGTGGTTTTTTTTTTTTTTTTTTTTTTTTTTTTTTTTTTTTTTGTTTTTGTTTTTTTTCTGCAAAAGCCTGGTAGGAAAAAAATTCCTCTATTGTTGCGTATGTAGCATGTTTATGCGCATATGGTGTTGGATGTAAACACATTCTGCTGGCCAGAATCTGAAATTATTCTAGTCATTAGAATACATTCATGCTGATGTGGGCGTTTATGCGCATTTACACGCATATGCAAGTAAACTATGCTCCTAAGCTCTTCGCTGCTTTTGGTGCCTTTTTTTTTTTATTTTTATTTTTTTTTTTTAGCTACTTATGCTTCTAAACCCTGTTCTTCAAATACTAATCCAAATCTTTAAATGCCTGATATGCATGGTCACATAGGCTAACCTAGAACTACATTTAGAGGCATAAAAAAGTATGTGGCTTTTATGCCAATGTACAGGATGCCTAAAACTGAAAAAAAAACTCTCCTGGTGCAAAATAGCTCTTGTGCTGCTGCCGGAGGTTGTGCTGCTGCGGAAGGTTGTTGGCTGATTGTTAGGAGATTAATCGAACAGGATAAATAAGCAGAAAAAAATATCCAAACCCTTTTGAGAGTATGTTGAGCGATTTTATCTTAACTGCCCTTCAAGACTATAGAGAAATCAATGGTTAATGGTGTCTGCTACACCGCAAACTGTAATTGTGCGATCACCAGAGAATATCCGCTCAGTCATTCGACTGTAAGTCCCTGGCTAGCTTCACACCTATGTGTTGCGGTAAAATCAACTTATGTGGTCACGTTTTGATTAGTGCATGACAAATGCATTGCAATTCTTTATGGGGCCCATTCACACATGTGCTGTGCATTTTGGGGAAAAGCTGTACAGGTGCCTTTGTGATGTGTCCGTGCGTGTTCTTGGCCCCGTAGACTTCGATGGCAGCATGCAACATGGGTTTAGGTGCCTAAAAACAAGCCCCCCCCCCCCCCCCATCAATCCCTGCTTTTATTTAACTTTCATTGGCCAAACAAAAAAATGCAGAATTTGTTGAAATGCCCTTTAAGAATGCGCAACAAATGCAGTAAAATAGATGCAAAGCTGTACACTTTGCTATGCATTTCAGTAACACAAAGCAAGGCTGTTTGTGAAGTGTTGCAATGCCATTTACCGTATTTAGAATGTCACCATACAACTACAGTAAGTGGCAATGGCTGCAGCACACTACATTGCACATGCAGTGCATTATGGTACAGTTTTCTACTGTTCATTGGCAGCCCATTCAAAATGTATAAAAACTGCCTTAGGCTACGTTCACACTAGCGTTGTGTGCAGGCGGCAGAGAGGCGTTTGGGAAGCGTTTTTACCGCTTCCCAAACGCCTCTGCCAATTCTGCACATTACAGCACATGGTTCTGTTCTAACAGGAGCGTTTGCGTTGCGTCGCGGCAAAACGGACGCCTCTGGTCGAGTCAGGAGGCTTTGAAGCCTCCTATTCTCGTCTATGGTGCCACTCCGCAAACGCCTGGCCGGCGTGTGTGCGGTTGCGACGTGGTTGCGGGGCGTTTGCGGAGCGGTAACACCACTCAAATGCATTATAGGCGTTTGTGGGGCGTTATTAACGCTCGGCAAACGCCTAGAAACCGCGCATGCGGCGTTTGCGGAGCGTTAAAAACGCTCCGCAAACACCGGACCAACGCTTGCCAAACGCTATAGGGGCGTTTGGCAAGCGTTGGCAAAACAGCCTAGTGTGAACGAGCCCTTAATGCAACACATTATTAACATGTATACGCAACACTATGCACTAGGAGATATTTTCAGGCTGTGAGATTAAAAATCACTTGTGTAGCCCTAGCCTGACACTCCAATAAAAGTGGGGGGGAAATATGCAGGGAGAACTTGCTGCTTGCATGCCTTGCAGATATAAGAAACCAGTGAGTGAATCCGTCCAGTGGGCTCCACCTGTATACCGTTTGGGGTATCAGCCCTTAACGTCTTAAAGCAGCATACTCTAGTTCATTCTTGCAGGCAAAGGTGTGTGTGGTGTTTTTTTTTTTTTTTTTTTTTTTTTTTTTTGGTTTTGTAACTGCCCTGAGATTGGCATTAATAGATCAATTCTTGTCGCAGCTTATTTTTTCACTGACGTAAACCGACAGGAATTGACCCCAGGGTTAATCAATGATGAAATTTCCACATTTGCGAGCTCCACTGTTTTAGGCTTGTCTGTAGATGGACTAGTCTGCTTATGAATCACATTCAGCTCAGTAGTGTGAATGTTTGACTGAACCATACATACAGTACATGATTTTATGAAAATTGAGGTTTTGTCCAAACCAAGCTATTGGATTGAAACCTGATTGGCTACAATGGCTGCTCTGTTCCCATTCAACCTTTAACCACTTCCCGACCGGCCGTTGCATATAAACGGCCGGACGGTGGCAGTGCAGGGTCAGGTGGCCGTTTATAAATGGCCTCCCCGCACCCTGCTTGTGCGCGCTCCCCGGACACAGTGAAACGCCGATCGTTGGACGGGACCTCTGTATGAGGTCCCGATCATGTGATCACTGATTGGCCAATCAGTGATCACATGCAAAGTAGTAAGCAACATGTCACTTGTGGCATCGCTTACTATGTGTGAAATCTGTGAATGATCACAGAGGTCACATGGTACAAGGCAATTCACAACAGCCTTGTACCATGTGACAAGTTGTGACCAATCACAGCTCACTCAGTACTTCTCAATGAGTGCAAGAATGCAGTCAGAGAGATGGAGAAATGATTGCTTTTATATCCTATATGGGTGTAAAAGCAATCAGTGTAAAAAAAAAAAAAAAAAAAAAAAAAATCAGCCCCCACAAGTAGTACAGTGTCACCATGGTGACACTGTACTGCTAGGGTGACAGTATGTAAAAAAAAATAATATAAAATGTTTAAAAATTATAATTTTTGGTTATAAACTAAATTTGGATTTTTTTTTTTTTTTACTAAAAAGATAACAGAATAAATTTTGGCAAAGATTTATGATTAAATATTTATTTGCAAAATTTTATAAAAAAAACACTTTTTTTCTAAATTTTTGGACTTTTTCATTTACATAGCAAAAAAAAATTAAAATCCCAGCGGTGAATAAATACCACCAAAATAAAGCTTTATCTGTCTCAAAAAAATGGTAAAAAATAAATTTGGGTACAGTGTTGCATGACCGTGCAATTATCATTCAAAGTGTGATAGCGCTGAAAAAAACTGCCCTGGTCAGGAAGTGGGTAAAAGTGTCCGGTCTGGAAGTGGTTAATGTGAGTTCTGTTTGAAGTGCCGATTTTTTTTTTTTTTTTTATAAAAGCTATACATAAAAGCATACATACATACATACATACATACATACATACATACTATTAATACTTGGATGGTCATCTCCCCTTGTAGTTTTCAGCTGACATAAAGCTGCACATGCTCAGTTTGCCATCCTTTCTGGCATCTCTAGGATGATGTCTAGCATCAGTGCTCCTTGTGTGTAATGAACATTTTGCTTCCACTAAGGCTTAGCTCATCTTTTGGATGATTATTATACAGGATTTGGATGATGGTGGTTTTGGGTGGAAATATGGATATGGATGGAGTGATACAAATATTTTTGTATTGACTTTTTTTAGAAGACCTTTGCAAATAAAGATTTACTTCCTGGTGGAGGGGAGAGATTACTTCCATTTTTTTTTTAAATGGAATCGGGTATGGTGGTGCCTGAAGCTCAAAAGTGTGGGTGTGTGTGTTTTGGGGGTTGGTGTGTTGTGTTTAAGCTGCTGAAAGCAGAAACACATAACAAGTGATGTAACATGTAATGGTTTTCTCTATTGGCAATAGGCTAATACGAAAATGCCCAAGTTCTAAAACACTTGGAAAATGCTGTACAAAAATGCACATACAAATACATAAGAAAATGTCCAAAAATGACACTCAGGTGTGAATGCAGCCTTTAAAGCGGAGCTCCACCTAAACCAAAGGCGAAGTTCTGCTTAAGGACTGCTCCCCCACTCCCCATTAAGGATTGCACCTTTGGGGAGCGGTTATCTGAATTTAACAGATACCTGCTCCCACTTCCAGTCTGCCTAGGCAACCTGTTGCTCTCTAGCTGTTGTGGAACTACATTTCCCATGAGGCATTGCAAAGATTACAACTGACAGTTACAGCTATGACTTGCAGAGGCATTATGCAACTTGTAGTCCTGCGGCTCTCAGGTTGCCTACCTGTGGCCTAGGCAATCGGAATCAGAAGGTGTCCTCCCTCCCTGTAGTCTTTTGGGACACATGACAGGTCCCAGAAGACTACAGAACTATTCGGGAAGCGCAGCGCTACTCGCACATGCGCAGTGGGTACCCGGATGTGAAGCCACAAGCTATCACAGCTGGGTGCCCACACTGAAGATGCCGGCCTCCTGGAATACAGGACGGCCGGTGAAACAAGCTGCAGGGGACACACCGAGGGACAGGTAAGTGGCTGTTTTTTATAAAAGTCAGCAGCTACAGTTTTTGTAGCTGCTGACTTTTATTTTTTGACAGCGTGAGTGGAACTCTGCTTTAAGCACGATGCAATTTACTCATAAAAGGGACTGAAAAAACCTTGATTCCCTAAGGCAATAGAATCCTATATTGCCTGGATCAATAATCTCTAGTGACATTAAAAAATGTTAACCCCTTAATGCTGGCACCTCCTGACCCTTTTAAGGGGTTTCTGATGCTGTGAGGTGGGTTTATGATCATGTGACCACTGTAATTGACTGTCACACAGTTGGAAAGATCCTGATCGATCGGGAGCTTTCAATTAGCCACCGGTAACTGTCGGGAGCTTGCAGGGTGCATGCTCTCGGCACAGCTGTGTTTACATCCTGGTATTTTCTGTTGTATAGTGCTTAGTTCTAGCGGTTATAAATGTTGTTTAGCTATACAGTATTCAAGCGCAATATGATTGAGAGTTTTTATAGTGGGTATTTTCAAGGCATAGTCCATTCTGTGTGTGACACAAAAAAAAAAAAAACCCCAAGTAATAACTGCACCTGATTTGCTAAAAAAGAAAATGTATTTATTCATTTTTTTTGCATTGGAGCCTGCAAAGCATTGTGACCACAATCCGCATTGCACAGGCTGCTGCAGACTATTCCTCCAAGAAGTAACTAATGGACTGTGAGAGCAGCGATGTCACTACACTTCCATTTTTCATTTAAGAATTAAGAATCCTGGCAGTCGATGAGACTTGTGGAATTTTTTAGAAAACATACTTGTCCAAAGGACTAAATCGGGATCCTAATCTAAATCTAATCTAATCTGAATCTAATAATAATTTAACCAACACCTCGGGTCCCAGCTGGTGATTACTTGCCGGCGCCCAGTGATTGCTGAGGATCTCTGATGGGGAGAAAGACTGTATGTAAACCATAAATTTCTTCTCCCTGTCAGCTTGTGCACACTGCTTTTGGATGGCTGTGATTACAGTGAAGCGCACACACAAAGCTTACTGTAAAACATCACACAGTTAACCCTTTGATCACCCCATGTTAACCCCTTCCTGCCTAGTGCCATTAGTACAGCCTTTTGCTTTTTTTTTTTTTTTTTTTTTTTTTTTTTTTACTGGACATGTTTAATAGCAAAACGTAAAATATTTTTTTTCTCTCTAAATTGTCAGTTATTTTTTGCGCTATAAAAAAACAAACAAAAAAAAACCCCGCACAGGTGATCAAATACCACCAAAAGAAAGCTCAGTTAGTGGGAAACAGATGTAAATTTCATTTGGGCGCAGCATTACATGACTGCGCAATTGTCAAAGTAACGCAAAAAAAATGGTCTGGTCAGGAAGGGGGGTAAATCCTCAGGAGGGCAAGTGGTTAAATCTGAGGTGCTTTTTAGGAATATCTAGGGGTTTTAAAAATGAAAGGGACTTTATAGCGACTTAAACGTTTAACATTGCACTGTTTATCTCCTACTCACCTCCCTGCCTGTCTCCAGCACTGTACCTGGGAACTGGCAGGGAGGGGGGGGATGTTACAGTGCAATGAACACTGATTGGGTCTTCTTCAGGAGAGGGGAGTATCATATGTGCTGAGTGAGTAAATAAGGCGCTGGCCCCAATGGGGGGGGGGGGGGACTTTTTTCCTTCAGGTTAACTTTGAACATGGAAGCAGTGGGGTGCTCAGTACTAGCACCTGCTAAGCAGCCAAATCAATCTCTGGTGTCAACTCCGTTAGGCCCAGTTCATACCTGGGTGTTTTGGGTTTGTGGCAGAATCGCTGTAATTCTGTCCACAATTTCAAAATGCACTACAGGTTCAGGTGTCCTTATTCTCAGTGGCTGCCAAATGTGGTGCAGTTTTGCCACAATTGTCATGCAATTTACTCGATGAAATTGCATCACATGACGCTTGTCACCCAAAAAGGAGCATGAGCTTATTTTGGGTGAAAAGATTCATGTGATGTGATTTGCTCTGATTGTCATGCGATTTACTAGGCAGCATTTCGCATTACGTAAAGCTTGTTGCCCCAAAAAGTAGCAGGAGATTCTTTTGTACGATAAACTTCATGCCATGCATTTTGTTGTGACAATCACAGCAAAACCAGACCATGTTTTAGGTGCCATTGAAAATGATACAAAGAGAGGGCGCACAACCACCCTAGTATAATACCAGTTTATTACGATCAGGATTAAAAACTTTTCAAATTGCACTCACATTTTCCAAATGGTATCGAACATATCTGTACATAGGGTGATCCACCGCGTGGTCCCTGTAAGATCTGGGGCCTCTGGATGGTCTGTCAGCCGCAGTCCACCAAGGACTGCACTGGATGCACAGTGACAGACTGCCAGCGTCCCACCCCACTGTGCATGCATCCAGCCCGGGATCGCAGTGATTCTGCTGCAATCCCAAAACACCCAGGTGTGAATGGAACTGCCCTGGTTCACACACGTGATTTTGGGTGCGTTGCGTTTTGAGTGCCATTACGTAAAAGTGTGTAAGCAGACTCACAAGTGACAGTGGCATGCAGAGACGAGTATTAACATAGGCTTGCAATTGACAGGAGTTTTTTGCCTTGATGTCAGGAGGCTGTGTTGTGTTTTTTGCCTTGACATCAGTACAAAATCGCCTCCCATTGACTTCAGTGAAGCTGCTTGCTTGCAGCAGGGTGAATGTAAAGAAAAACCCACCTGCCCAGCACCAGCATAGGGTGATCTAAACTGTGCATCCCTGCTGGTAGTGTTTCTACAGATCCTGCAAATTTTAAACACAGAATGCTGGATGGAAGCCTGCAATTCAGGTAAAAGGGGGCAGTTTTATGATATGTGGGGGAAAGGGGGCTGTGGAATGGCACCATGGTCCAAATATAGATGTAACCTGAAACATGGTATGAAAGGTGCTATTAGCTTTTTAGGCTTGTTTCTAACGCCGGCACAAATTCAAACCATGTGCCCATATTGTTTAAAGTGTTTTTTGATGCATTTATTGCACATTCAAATGCACCCAGATACCCTCCAAGTGATTGTCTTTTGTTTTCCACCTCACTATTATTTGATAAACGCTTGTCAAACGCACTGTGAGCACACCATAAGAGCATGGTAAATGAGCTGTAAAATCTACAGGCGCTTTTACAGTGCATTACCATAGATTTGAATTGAAGGAGTTGACTAACTTAAATTCCTCCTAGACTCCATGTAACTTCATTTTTCCGCACAGCGATGTTAAGCCACACACATGCTACTTATTTTTCAAATGAAAGGCTAAGGCTGGCCATACATTATACAATTATCTGGAGATTTTTGGTTTAGATTTAACAAAAATCATATAATAGGACAAACCTAAACAACACTTTCAGTTGTATCCAATTAGGCAGGCCCTTGTACTACACAGTTGAAGGTAAATCTAAAGGAAATTGGACAGAAAATTGGAAGATAATTGTATAATGTATGGCCAGCCTAAGTTCGCTATCCATATTATCGACTGCAGGCTGGGCCTTTCTCTGCAGGAGTTGTAAACCAGCCCCGAAAGCAGCTTTCTATCCCTCAGGGGATTTTTTTTTCCTTTCTTTCCTTTCCTTCTTTTTTTTTTTTTTTTCTTCTTTTTTTTTTCTTTTTTCTTTTTTTCTTCTTTCTCTTTTTTTTTTTTTTTCTTTCCTCTTTCCAAAATCCATGAAACTATACCTGAATAATTGGTCTATGACTGGCTTGACCGTGTGGTTTTTTTTTTTTTTTTTTTTTTTTTTTTAATTTCACACTTAAAAATATATCTGCAACATAAGCAGAGTTTAGTAATTTTCCCCTTGTAATCGTGTGATTGTTTGTTTTATTGTAGACATGGCTTTTAGCAAATTCCTAAATGAAGTTACATTCCCTTTGTATCAATCAGAGTAGAGTTAATCTGGTACAGTTTGAGGATCAATAAATAAACTAGGTCCTTTTTCTCTTCCGCTGTCAGCAGTAGCAGGGCAAATGAAGGGTCATACCAGGACACCTTCATATACGCTTACTTTAAAAGCCATGGCTTCTTAGACAGATGTCACTTGGAGTAATATTGTGTAAATTTAGCATGGAAATTTCCAGGAGGCAAATATAAATATACCTGAAACCAGGTATCAAATTCATGAAAGTTATCTCTGTTCTCGTGTCCTGGTAAGAATATCTATTTGTCATTCAAATATTGTACATTCATAAAATAAAAATCACATGTAATTGTAGAAAAAGCCTCTTATGTCATAGGGAGGATATCATCGTGATTTACATTTGTGTGCCTTTTTTTATTTATTTTTTTTTTTTTCTTCTGCTTTTATTGAGCATTCTGTATTTGAAAATGACAGCAATATCATTACACAGAGTAGTACAATAATACAAATTTATGTAAATTTAAAATGCAAACCGTCTCAGTACATGACATAGCGGTTACATCATGGTGCATTTACCTACAAGATAGTAAGAACCTCACGGGAATCGGTCACCATTGTAACCGTCTAGGCAATACTGAGGGAGGCCCAACTGGTGTCCTGGAGGCATCTGTTGTCCCCTAGGGATCAATCGGTGTGTTTGTACCCATGAGCACCTCGGGTTTAAATGCTGTCTGGACCTCCTTTAAGGAGAATTTTCTGTATCCCCATATACAAGATTTTGCTTCATTTTCCTGTTTTCTGACAGCTGTCGCCTTGACAGGCAATGAAGGGACCCTCCCTCCTTGGGGCACAGACAGCAATGAAAACCTTGCACAGGCTCTGTACCTTGCTTGCTGTACTATAAAATGTATTTTTATTGCCCCCTGTCAGTATCACTGACTGTCAGGAAGTGGAAAGTTTTCTACCTCGCTTCTGTTCAACACACGTCTCCTAAGTAGGGCTACAGACAAAAAGTTGAGCTGTTCTAACCTTTCTCCACACTATATTCAAAACTAAAAGATGGGAGAATTGGCATTCGTTTGATCAGGGCTGCTGTTCATGGGACTCTGTACGTGCTACCTGA